TTAAACCGAGGTAAGACAAGCCACGATTATTTAAATTTTTTTACTAGAAGAAGCTTTTTCAGGTTAAGTGACTTAAAATAAAACCTTTTTCGGCTTCCTACAACGGCTACGAGGGAGACATTTCTTCAATTTCCTTGATTGTTGATGATCGTCTCTGATTTCATTCAGTAATTCAAACCGGTGACTTGCCGTCATTTCTTCAAATCTTACAGATATATACCGGTCGATGTCATCGTTGTTACCTCTTAAGATTCGGGTAAGACTTTTGTTTATGTATTTTTTTTATTCGATTCTCAAGAGTGTCCTTCTGGGCGGGTTTTCACTCGGGGATCGACAATTGTATTTGCTCCATGCATTCGCGCCAATAAGTGGTAGTGGTTTGAAACCGACAATCTTGTTCGAGTATCATGGTTCTTGTTTATGCAGCTCCAAAACTAAATAGTTCATTAGTAACAAATGTATTATTTGTACAACTCGAAGATGTGGAGGGGGTTTTAATGCGCATTGAACTAGATCCCCCGCCGTGTATTTTACGTATACTTTGTCTTAATTTTCATTGGATATTATCTGTGAGAAGTTTCAAGTCGCTGCCCTTCTTCTCTTAATTCTGACGCTTACGGAACCGCCAAACACGTGGAAATCAGAATATTTACTTTTTGGTAGATATACCGTTGATTTATTTACACATTTTAAAGCAAGGCCCATCTCTCAAACGTCTCGGTTTGATATCCCGAGCTAAAAACGATGACATCGGTATCTGTAAGATTTGAAGAAATGACGGCAAGTCACCGTGTGGGATACTTCGACGAGAAGATCACACTCGGCACAAATTACTAGTCCACGCGTCGTTCGTAAATTCTGTTTAATCCACCGTTTCCTTTCGCCGCTCCTTCACGAGCAAATACAAATTCCTCGACGATACTCGATACTTGAGAAAACTTGTTCATGCAACCGCATCAAACTGAACTATCAAGCTACAAAGAAGAAAATAGAATCCACGCGAAAACATCGACGATTAGGCTCTAAAGTTTGTGACCGACTGCATCACAACAATGTCACGTGCTCGAAAACAAAGAAAAGACATTAACATAATTAAAATTCGCGGGAAAAAGACAAGACACACCGGTTTGAATTACAGAGTGAAACCAAAGACGATCGTCAACAATCAACGAAATTGATGAAATGTCTCTCTCGTAGCCGTTGTAGGAAGCCGAAAAGGATTTTATTTTAAGTCACTTAACCTGAAAAAGCTTCTTCTACTAAACAAATAAATAATCGTGGCAATATAATACAGTTACAGAAAGAAACAGCTTACCTTCCTCCATCGTGCTCGCTTCTGCGTGAAAGCGGCGCAGCTAAAAGCACGCGAAACTGCTTTTACGTCTGCCAGTAAACATGAGCCCATTATTTTCTCATTTCCTACCTATGACCCTTGCAGGTACACATCAGTGCAACATATGATGGTGATGCACAGTGCAAATAATGAGAGGAAGCAGGAAACTATAGTAAAAATTTTAGTAGAAAATTGAGCTACAAGTGAAAAAATAACACTCAGTCTGCACCGTCTGCACGGTCTGCACAGTCTGCAGTCGGCAGTCTGCATGGTCTGTGTTTCAACATGACCGCTTCCAATCTAAGCCACAAAAGTTATCGTCCACTGACTATTTTGACTTTTAGATTTAATTACTGGCTGGCTGGTGGGCTAAAACCTTGGGAATTTCATCTCTTCAATGTCATACTTCATGCTGTGGTTTCAGTGTTAACTTTGAAACTTTTTTCAGTTCTCATTAGCACCAGAAAAAAGACCTCTAACGAGAATGAGATAAGCTTAACTGGCAAATCCACAAGCATTCAATTTTCTGCTCCTAAGGCAAGTTTGGTCGGCGCCCTCATTTTTGCGGTGCATCCAATTCACACGGAAAGTGTAAGTTAAATATGAGTATCTCTAACTTTAATCTAAAATATTTTTTATATCGCTGACCTCAGTTAATAAGCTCCTTTGCTTAGTTACCAACTACCTAAGCTTATCTATTTTTTATGCTTGTAAAATTATTTACTTTTTAAGGTTAGCAGGTAGTTACAATTTTCGTTAAATATTTGAGTTGTTACCATAATAACAGTTCAATAAATATTTAATTACGATATTTTTATTCAAGGTTGGTTCACCATTTCAAATTATGAGATAAAAAATTTAGAGTTGATATTGGATGTTTTAAAATTGAAAAATTGCCACAAAGACTTATCGTCAGTAGCACATTAATTTTTCAAGGGTATCTTAAAGCCAATTATTCTGGCTCCAGAGGCCCGTTCTCAAAATGGCTAAGATGAAGTAAAACGGTGCTTAGAGTATGATAAGAAAAAAAAATAACCTCTGGAACCCAGGCTAAAAGCCACATGCAATTTACACTGAACAACTTTGTCACATGTGATTTACTTACCACAAGCCTTCCGCACACAAGTTGTAATATTGGTGTAAATCAAACCTACCACATACTTGAGATTTTTATAGGTTTGATTTAAACAATACAAAATGTGTCATAAGCTTATCATAAGCACTTGACATGCAAGACATGCAAAAACCTGTATGGTGTAAATCAGCCTTAATTTCAGGTTATATCATGCTTGCTCTGACTGTATTACAGAAGGAAATAATAATATTAGCCACCATTTAGACATGAACAGGGAGGGGACACTCCCGTACAACTGCGTAATCTACAATCACATTTTTTCTATTTTGTTCAGGTTGCAAACAGTGTATGGGCTGCAAGTCAAAAGTCATTTTGAGAATGTTGTGTGCATGATTTCTCAATAGTGGGTCAACCTACACCAGTATCTTTTTGAGATATGGGAGCATGCCCCCCCCACCCCTGCCTCTATTACTCTCAGAAATTTTAAAATGGGAACATGGCTGGATTTCATATCATACAACTGGACTGGGTACTAGTCTGTATTATTGGATTACTAACACAAGAACCTGGTAAACAGAAAGATAACAGCAAGATTTACAAGATACCTATGTTTGGTTAATTTTGATCAGGCTGAAATTACAAGATACAACCATTCAAAAACTTGAAAAATAACTAAGAAATGTGTGGATGGCTGTATCTTGTCCCATATCTGCCCAATAAATGCCAAACTTGAGGATTCTGTTGGTCTTGGATTGATATTATCCCATATTACATGGACTCATACCCAGTCCCCATGATATGAAATTTGGCATTTTCCCGCATTTTTGACCCCATTCTCGGGTCTTTGATTTCCCTTCTCAGAAGACCTTTGCAGCATTTTTCTTATATTTTCTAAAAAAAATTAAGGTGGGAAGAATCTCATATAAAGGGGGTTCCAGGGTCCCAGTGGCACATCCCCACCCAAAAATTTCCAAAAAATGCCCCCGAACTTATCAATGTCCACAGGTTTCGGTTTATTTTGAAAGAGCAACTTGCTTACAGCTCATGAACATGTTGCGAATAGTTATACTGACGCTTATATGTATATCCATTTGTTGTGTCTTTGCTGGAGACAGTTACCAAGAATCTAAACCTGGTAATGAGAAACGCAAAAGCAAGGCAAGCGGTAGTTATCGAGTGACAAAACATCGTAGGAACCGTCACATTCACGGACTAAAAAAAAAGTCGCTTATAATTATTCGGATCCATCAGGCACTTTAAAGAAAATTAAACAACCTAAAACCCTTATTTAGCCGCAATGAAAAGCATTGCATTTGAAAAGAGGTCAAAGGAAATGCTCTTGCATTAAAGGACAAATCATGCCGACCAGAAACAATAACTTCCGAAAATGCGTAGCATGACCTCGCTGTATGAAATAAGCGGCAAAAATCACATTTGCTCAGACAAAACGTTTTCCTTCAGAGGTATAATCTACCCGCCAGAGAGAAAATTCATTGGAACAAGCAGCATTTTAGCATGAGGTAAGTCGTGTGTTGCCTACCGGCTTCGTTTTTACACTTGAATGATTTTTTCATTTAGTTTTTATTCATGTATTTATTTTAGAACTGAAATTTAGCGTTTAATCTTACTTTTTGTAATAATAATAAAATAGACATGATGATCCGCTAACTCGAGTCTAAGCCATTCCTATTTTTCTTTTGGGATCATTTGCGGTCAACTTTGGGGATCACTTGCGGTCGAGGATCCTTTGCGGTCCATGTTGGGAATCATTTGCGGTCTTGGGATCATTTGCGGTTGGGGATCACTTGCGGTACTGTACAGAACTCACTGCTGTTGTCAATGAGAACTAGTAGTAGCCTCACCATTTTTAAAAAGTGTTGATATTAAGTGCTTTTAAATATTTTTAATATCATTCATTGGCACTATATAAATTCATTATTAATAAATTCATTATTAATTAATTAAATAGAGCAACATTACCCCATATAATTTACAAATGTGACGTTTTCTTGTTTACAGATGCAGAAGATGGGTCTCCTGAATATTTCCCTTGGACATATCTTGCAATGAGTATGGTGTTTTGTAGTGTTGCAATGCTTTGTAAAGAGCAAGGGATCACAGTCTTGGTAATGTATCAAATTTTAAGTGAATTTCAATTATAACATCAGGTTGATATGATCTATATAAGCAGGACCAAAAGATTTACTTTTATCAACTAAATTGATGATGGGAATGATAGGTTTACCACTGAGTTTCAGTTGAGTGCTGATCCTTCATAGTGAATCAGAGGGTTGTCAGAAGTAGATAGGGGAGGGATTTGTGGTCTGTAAGAATTGTGTTTATGCTACATAAGATTGTAGGCTAGTGAATAAACTATCTGAACATGGTCCTGTATAGACTGCATGAGTAGAAAGTTCCAGGGACTATACAGTGGTACACCACTTCCAGAAAGTGTACTACAATAAACATCTGCAATTCCCAATAAACCACATTTAAAAAGCATCATCTTTATAGTCTCCTACATGGCTTTTCAGTTGACTCATCATGCAAACAAAAACTTAATAGATCTCTTTACAATCTTGTTTTTTTTAGGGTATTTGTTGTGTTTATGATGTCATTGTTGTGTGTGAGGTAGATCCACTTATGCTTATAATGAGGGCTACACCCACCAAAGGGGACAGAAATGGAACCATTTATTTAAAGGTGACTTCATGATCGAACTAAAAAAATTGTAACCACGACCTCATTTCTTGCCTAATAGATCTTCTTTTTCTCTTTGTTAAACTGGTTTATAATAATTATTACAGCCAAAAAATACCTTTTTTTTATTAAATTAGCCTGTTTAATACAGAAAGAGGGCATGCACCTATATAGGAGGCTACAATAAATTGATTACCATTACTCAAAAAGCAAATAAGTGAAGAAGTGAATAATTTTTTGTGCCTCAAATGTGGCACTTATTCAAGGGTGCAGCCCAGTTGTCAGAAAGTTTTGAAGTAGACGACTGAGTTGTCAAAGTAAGCGGCCAGTCCAGGGATATTTTCTTTAAAAAATGCAATCTGTAAAGAAATGCCAAACAGAGTAGCCAGCTGATACTAACCAAGTAGGTGGCAATTTTTGCCGGCAGCTGGTTACTTGGCTGTCACTTATTTTAGGGATGCATTTTTTTGAAAGTTGGACACCACGAAGAATTGTTTTAACTGGGATATTAGTATGTTCCATATCACGCTAACAGAAATAACTTCTTTTGATTTTGATTATATCGGGGCGGCGGTGCTTATTCTGGGACAGCACTTAACTCTTTTGTCCCAAATGCAGTGCTTATTTGAGGGCAGTACATAATCAGGGGTGGTGTTTATTTGGAATAAATATGGTTTGGTGTTAATATCAATGTTGATTAAAATTCTGACTTGTACATTCTGACTGTAGGAGAAAAAGGCAGCCACTACATGGCTGAAAGGCCTGATTTTTAGACAAGTGGCTTTACTAGTCACTGGTATCCTCCTTCTGCTATGTCGATGGCAAGTCATGGGTTCTTCACCTCCAGTGTTCCAGGTCGTTGATAATCCGACATCATTTGAGAAGTCTCTTATTATGAGAGTGAGTACAGAAGAATGCATTCAGAATAACATTTACTGGATGAATCTTCAGTTAATATATCTTCAGTTTATTTATTTTTGTTGCAGAAACTCATTTTGCCAAATTTTGATTATAGCACAGTTATGAAAATATAAATTAAGGCATTAATCCTTTTGACCTACATCCCTCTTAAATACATAGGTCAGAGAGATACAAATTTACTGGTTTAATTTCATTAGTTTGGTGACTCATTAGTTCACTAATGTTATTGTAATTACATTTAAGTGAATCAACTGCAATGGCTGTTTTATTTTTCCACACACAGATAATTAATTATAACTATCTCTATGCCATTAATGCCTGGCTTCTCCTGTACCTCAATGGCTTTGTTTTGATTGGTCAATGGGTTGTGTGCCAATAATCAACACGTATAGTGATCCACGTATACTCTGCATTGTTGCCCTGTGGACTGTGCTTCTCCTGCTTCTTGCATACTGTTTATGTGGGAGGAATTTGCAAATAAAACGGTAAGGTTCTTTTAGGGGCTATTCACAGAATACTTTACTGATTATGTTTTTAAAATGAGTCCGTCCCATCTAAATAACTTTATTACTCTGTATTATTATTGTGTTTACTTAATGATACAAAGATGAAATTTCATTCCTACACAAGCCATTCTGGAATGAGTTCATTCCAGTTTTCAATACAAATTTAGTTCATGTGGTGTGATATTTCATTCTGGCATTGTATAAACTGAATACAAACTTTGTTCTGATTAGAAATTTAATAGCAGACCATGTAGTTGCAATGGGCCACCAGCACATATGTATCACTTTCAAGTTTATCTGGCACAAACACCAAGGGAGGGAGAATGCCTTAATTAACCTGAGCCAGTCAATTTTCTGATGTGAATGCAAAGTGAATTCTTGGACCAATATAATATCAACATCTTGTTTTTTACTCAACTGTTCAACTTGTAGCTATAGGTTGTTATAAGTTTCACATGCATTTACTTAACAGTACTTTGGTCCTGTGGTTCTTGCTTTGTTCCTCTAAGCAGTAATTGTCTATGTGTTGGAATAATAGGCCTCCCAAGCAGACGTTCTTTTGGCTCGTGATGCAGTCCTGATCCCCAACAGTCATGGGGCCCCGTCTGAACTATCAATGTGTGTGGGAGAGATGGAAAAATAAAGTGGTCTATTAAATTCTACAAACAAGATCATAGCAACTTCAAATAATACAGTCTTGCAAGAATCAATTTTCTGTGCTTGATAACAGCATGTACATCTGCGACATTGCGTTTACAGTTCATTGCATTAGCATGAACATTAATGATAGCCTTTTGATTCATCTGGATCTGTTGTGTTTGACAAGAGAGATTATCTTCTTTTTTTCAGGAATCTAACCATGGGGCTTGCTCTCCTTATTGTTCCATTCCTTCCAGCGTCAAATATCTTCTTTACAGTTGGTTTTGTTGTAGCTGAAAGGGTGCTGTATCTCTCCAGTATTGGATCCTGTCTGATCACTGTTCTTGGATTTGCCGCACTAAGCAAGAAATACTTTGGAAAAAAGGTGAGCAGAATGATGTATACCAGCGTATATTCACTTGCCACTCTTCAAAGACGTGTAATATGCTGGTTTAAAATTAAGACTGCTTACATGTACATGTATGTTATTTAGGTGCCATGCTGTTTTTAGCAATTTGACTTGACCTTGTTGGAGGAAGTGATTGTTTTTCTGCAGGGGAAACACTCCATTAGGCAGATTATGGGTAGTATTTATCCTCTGAATTACACTCAACAGAAGAGGAGCAATAGGAAGGGAAGTGCCTAAGAGGCTGGTGGAGCCAAGAACTGCAGCTGAGTGTACCTTGTAACCATGACAACCCTGTCAAGGGTATCCACCCAGGCACCATCACATTGCTTACTGATACATGGATTAACCCCTTAAGTCCCAATAGTGACCAACATCAATTTTCCCCTAACGATATCCATACGTTGTCAAGAGAAATGGTTACAAGAATTAATGAAATGATCACCAAAGAGAAAATGCTTTGATCTTTTATTAAACTCTCTCAACTTATCTCTAAGGAAATGTATGAAAATCAGTGTGGAAAATTTGTATGTGGATATTGGGGCTTAAATGGTTAAAGGGTGGGCTGGGTACAGTAGGTAAACCGAGGACACCGAAACCTTCACCAGCATAAGCAGTGTATAAAAATATACATGTGTCAGACCCACAGGGCACAGACGAGTTATTTGTGACCTCAATAATATTGTTGATTGTAGTTAAATTTTACAGTTGATAGCGCACATTAATTGCCTTTGTCTTTATACTGTGTAATCAAGCAAACCGTCATGTGATCGTCTTACAAACCCGGTAAAATATTATCCAATGCTCCGGAAAACCACTGAAGGTAATGACTGTGCACGAATAATAGCAGCTACACCGTATGATATAAGAAAGAGACAAATAGCTACTCTGCGCCCTGTGTAACACCCTGACAAGAATTAATTTGATATTTTCTGCTGCCCTACACCTGTATAGGTATTAGGATTTACTGTTGGTGCACTGATAGCTTTGTACATGGCTCGAACAGTACAGGTAAGAAAAATGACCCTTCAGCTAGTAGAGCCTCAGATAATCATATCCAAGGGGTGCCTGGAATTAAGCCTGATGTTAGAGTGAGGGTGTATTAAATTGCATTGCAGTCTCTCTTTCATCCATGTTTTTACCATCTATTTCACCATGTTATATATCTGTACCAAGTTATTACGTGCTCTACTTTGCTTCCTGTGCAGACGTTTCCAGGTTAGGTAACAGACTTGAGCCAAATTCCTAAGAACGTCTCAATAGGGGCCAATTCTTGCCCTGCTTTATAGAAACAACCGTTAGATGTGATGTAGATTTCTTGGACTTTAACTCTTGGTCATATCCTTTTCCCCTCTGATACTACTATAATACAGGCACCCCCCTGTCAATAGATACTGAGCTCAGGGTTCTCATTAAGTTTTGAAGTAGACAGCTAGGATGTAAATGTAGATGGCGTAGCAATCAAGTTCTGTAGGTAATTTCAAGCTTTCAATCCTTCCTTTTACCCCTTTTCCCCAAAAAGGACATGGCTCAAACCTCAAAATAGTGGGTTTTTAAGCCAGTTGCCAGCACTTAAAGAGAACCCTGTGTGCTTAAAAAATATGAGCTTCTCCATAATACAGACACATTGATTTGTCCCTCTGGTGTTCGCCTGAAAACGTTCTTGGAGTTGTGGCTGTTTTTATATTGCCTTCTTCCTTTTTTCAGAGATCCGCAGAGTGGGTTGATGAAGACACTTTATTCACTTCTGGACTCACTGTTTGTCCACTCAATGCCAAGGTAAATGAAATGGCTGAAGGGATGTTCTCTCGGTCATGATTGCAGCTAAACCTACATGTGCAACTAGGTATGTGCTGCCCTAAAGGGTATGGTTTTTGCGCCTTTTTGGTCTGAAAACGCGTATTCACTTTGCCCATTTTGGTCTGGAATCGGGTATGGTCTCGAGAGAACTGGGGGAGTGTATGAACGTATTTATCGTTTCAATTCTAAATAAGAAAGAAAGAAAAATATGCGAATTCGAAATGGATTTAAAGAATTTTTTGTTTACGCTCTAATCTAAGTAGTGATGACATAATTTTCTGCCTAAAGGACAGGTCTGAAAACGGGTGTGGAAAATGACATTTTTTGGTCTGAAATAGGATCAGGATTTGGGAAACCGGGTGGCACACCCCCACCAAGAATTCCCAGGGTACCCCCCCTCCCCCGGGTAAGTAGTGACCTCCGCCAGAAAAAGGAGGTTTGTCAGGGTGGATACTGTCGGACCCTGTTGTGTCAGGACAAAAGGTCAATCCTGTGCTAAAATCTTTACTTAGGGCTGTTTCCCATACACAAAATGCTAATCTTAAAATTATGACGAGGCACAAACCATGGTAATTTCTTTTGGGTGATTTTCGCAGGCATGTCATTAAAACTTGAAAACAGACGACAGGAAACGGCTTTCATGCCTTAATGTAGTCTTAAACAACAAAACGGGACCTAGTTAATTTTGGAATTCAATTGATGCGAAAAACGTTTCTTAGCTTTTTTTCAAAAAGAATAGAAAATAGCATGAACTAACCCATGTTCCCTGTAACCACCTATTCCTGGCATTTTTACTTCGTTGCGTATGGGAGATTTCACTGTTGTTCTTTTGGACCTTAGTTTACTTATGATCAATTTTGTCCCGTCAACAGGTTCACTACAACATTGGCAAGCTGAGAGCTGAAAAAGGACAGGCAGTGATTGCTGACAAGTTTTATAGAGAAGCAATCAGGTACCGTGTACAACTGATAAACACTCATTGTACTGGTTTATTTCTTGATAATTGACGTCTAGTGAAATGATCTTTCTTCCCTGTACTTAAATGAAGTTTCCTTTGAGTGGTTTTAACAATAAAAAAATAGCCTGCAGTTTTATCCAAGCATGAAAAGGTTTTGGGAACGGCCCTTGCCTGCGGAAGTTCCACAGGTAATGTTTTAAAGAAATATTTATTTCAGGCTGGACATATCCTAACGTACCGCATAGAATTGTCCAAATACACAGGATGTACTGTGATTGATTCTTGGAAGAGCTCGTTTTTCTTTTCCTTTCTTTTTGTTTTGTTTTGTTTGCATTTTTTTTTCTCTACCCTAATGGCTTTTTTCCATTAATTTCATCCCTTGCTGCGCGAGGTTATGCTATTCGCGTATTTCTAGTAAATTTTTGTTGTTCTAAAGTATGCAAGTTCTACGACAATTAATCACTACCTTCAACAGTGCATGTCTGAAAAAAAAAGACTAGAATGATATCAACTGATTTTAATTCCCTTAAATGGCAGGTTAAACCCAACATACGATCAAGCTTTAAACAATTTGGGAAACCTTATCAAAGTATGACGTCCTTGTACAGAATGTTACATATATTTTATTTTTGACGCACATGAGACATTCAATAACGGAGAGGCAGTAAACATGTGAATACTCCAAAATATGCGTACTTAGTTTTTGTGGCACTGAACATTTTAATAAAGATTCCTTTCAAAAATGATCCTCTGACGAGAAGCAAGATCACACCGAGCTCATATTTGTCATTGTAATGATCGCTAAAAAGACCCCATGGCGGACTTTTGCATCGCAGTTCAAGTCAATCGTAGGTGACTATAGAATAAATTTTTTGGGATACAAACCCTGCAAAAATAATTGATTCTCTTGGTTTTTGAATTTTTGGCCCCTTCCTATTCGACCAAAATGAAATGAGAAGAAACGGATGGAAAACTCATCTAAAACCCGAAAAGCTACAAATTTTCGAAGGCGATCGACTTATGTCATTTTTTAAAAAGTTTTGTCAGGACTTCAACGGGATTTGAATCCGTGACCTTGCGATACTGGTGCGATGTTCTAACCAACTGGAGCTGGTCAATTGTGTGTTCAAGAGATGAATGTGATAGATGTGTATGAAATAAATCATATAAGAACTGCGAAAATGAAATCAAATGAAGAGTGATCCTCGCAGTTGTGACCGCAATTTATGCAATTGCGTAAGAAGCCTGAAAAAAATTCAGGACTTTTGGAACTTTGTAGAGCGCTCCATAATAATCACGGTTTACTCGCGTTGCATTTAGGAGAAAAAGGCTATTTCTTGAATTTATTTTTTGGTTTTGCAAGACTGTCTGAAGTTGTAATTTATTAGTAGATTTAAAATCGGTTCGTTTTAAAATTTTAGTGTAAAAGAAATGTTTTTTTTTTAAGGATGATGGAAGATACCTAGAAGCTGAAGCACTGCTAGAAAAAGCTGTAGAAATAAGGTTAGTCTTTTTGCAATATTTTACTTAAGCGTTTTTCTCTCTAATTTGAAGTCATTTGAAGTTGTAAACGCATTAGTGACCTTAACATTTGTACTAACGGGGGAGGACAGGGGTTGGGAGAATTAGGGGGCAGAAGGGGTACGAGAGGCGGGAGAGGAAAGAGTGGAAAGTGTGAGTTCTAGAGGGCGGGGAGGGGAAAATATGGGGAAATTATGCAACAATACTCAATATTTCCTAATCGAAAAAAGAGCTGGTGGGAGAAAGCCAAGAAAAAAAGTGGGGTGTGAGATAACTTATTAACGCAGCCATTCTTGTGTACAGGAATAACTTTGCGGCGGGCTGGATGAACTTAGGCACCGTAAAGGCAGCATTGCATAAAGAAGATGTGAGTTTGATAGCTTTATTCATGTTTCCACAAATGATTGATTACGATTTGACCTTCCAGCGAGCTTTGTTTTTCTGTGTAACAACCGGAGAGCGGCCAGGCGAGCAGGTGGTGGTGAGCCAATCTGGCAGAGAGTGAATTAAGGGTATACTCAAATAGAACTTGTGCCTCGTCTTGTGCCAGTTTTTCCTATTTCTTTCCTTTGATTCTCTCTGCACGATTATTTCTTCCGCACAATTTCGAACTCTCTGATCCTACAAAATTTGTTTCTTAGGAAGCCGAAAAATGCTACAGCAACGCTATAAAATACAGACCAAGATATCCAGACGCTTTTTTCAACCTTGGAAATCTGGTAAGAAAAAAAGGTCAATAGTTTTTAAACGTTCAAAATGCGTAGTGCAAGCAGTGCAGATACAATGATCCTTTTACGTGAACCCTGGATAGTTTCCCATTCATTGCTTTTTCATGCGTATTTATACTGACCTTAAAATCTTCTCCTCCAGTACATCGATCAAGACAAAACTGTAAAAGACATTGCCGCATTTAAAACAGCCATCAATTTAAAAAACGATCATGTGGGTGCCTGGATGAATCATGCTCTGCTCTTAGAAAAGTCAGGTAAATGTCTGCAAGGGGCCTTTTAACGGGTGGGGAGCAAGGATTTTACGGCAACTGAGCGATTTTTTGTGCTGATTGGTCGAGAGCCATGGTCGATAACCGTCGATAACGGACGGACCATCAGAATAATTATGGGGTTGGGGAGAGTGGATGGGAAATTTTCGAGCCACATCAATTTTTTTTCGTGAACATTTCCCTTTGCTTGAATTTTTTTTAGGCCAGTGCGGGAATATTTTTTGGGAGTACTCGGCCCGCATGAATTTTTTCATAAGATTTTCCCTGGCACAAATATATTTTTATGATGCTTCACCAACCCCCCTTAATAACTTTTCTAATGGTGGGACGTCATGGAAATTACGTGACGGTGGCGCAATTTGTTTTTCTCTTTCTCTTGCGCGCAATTTGTGGAGAATTATTTAACGAGTGGACTTCAAAGACTCTTAATGTTATTGTACAAGACGAATCGACAATAAATTTCCGTGGTCCATACTCTTATCGATCACAGAAATGACGCGAAAACCTTCAAAAATTGGCAGTGAAATCATTTGCGTGATGATCGTGGTATCACTTCAGTGCCGACCATGAAAATTTTTTTCGATTTGTATAAGGGAAGGGAGAAAAGAACTCACTTTTTTCGGAAAGCGAAAAAGAACTCAAGCAAACGTTTTCCTAGCGTAGGAGTAAAGATTCAGCTTAGTTCATGTTGGTTAGTGCCAGACCTTCTATGCTAGAGGTCCTGAGTTCGATTCCCATTTATGACTTCCGATCCTTGTTTGACTTCTGTCCTCTCCGTGCAGGAACTGAAATACCCGTAAAACTAAACGGAACACTGGTGTAGAGAGAGAGAGAGAGAGAGAGGTGTGGGAGGGAGGAAGCAACTGACATAAATTTTGGACCCATTAATCAGGGGCACCCAACGCGAATATAGTTCAAAACCACTTAAACATAGCATTGTTAAACGTATTTTAGTATTTAAATGGCAGATATAGGCATATTTTATCTCCTAAAAATTTTTTATCTGTTCGGATTTCCTAGCTGAAAGTCTAGTGATCCGAAAATTATAGGGATCAATACTTACCTTTTCGAAAATTTCAGGTAGAAAAAAGGCTCCCGAAAAGTCTAGGCGACCCGTTAAAAATGGGCAATTATACCATTTTTTAGATGTTCGAAAATCCTAGGAGAGGCAGGCAAGCAAGAAATTTTGCAAAAAATGTTCCGAAAATTCTAGATCTCAAATCGACTTCCGAACAGATATTTTCCGAAAATTGACGTTGGGTAGCCCTGATTAATTACCCTCTTAACCCTTAAAGAAAACAGTAAAATTATTATAAGGTGTGGGAAAACTAGCAAGGGTTAAACTACAGTCTTGAAAAACGTTTTTTGCATAGTAGGGTATTTTCAGTTAATTATTCCCCTCCTACACCTACTTAGATCTTCAAATGAGTCAGTCCCTTTTCTGGCGGATCCCCAGTAACAAAACTCTCGCAAGCCTCCACCTCACCACACAATCCTGGCCTTTTAGTTGGTCGCTCACCGCTAGGTATACTAAAAAAAATCTTGTGCGAAGAAACGTCTCTTGACAGGCGAGTTCATTTTTAAGGTAACGCCTGGCTGGTTTCCCTTTCTAGGTAACAGAGATGCGGCGATAACAGTGATCAGAGAGGCTAAAAGCCACATTCCTAACGAGCCGTCAGTTCATTTCAACCTTGCTAACATGCTCGGACAGAAAGATGAGTTTGTGGTAAGTGATTCGCTACAGAATTACACTAGGATCAGACAATTCAAAGACGCCGGTGAAGTGAATTTTAGGTCTGGTTCTGTGTTCCCCGTAGAGGCTTCCACCGGTATTTCAAGAATAAAATAAACAGGACATGGGTATAATGGGAGGAGAAAATAGGCGGGAAATCGTCCCCCGCGCGCTTTCTTCCCCCGGGGAGGTCAAGTGGAGAGAGAAAAAGGAAAGAGAGGGGAGGGTGGAGACCATAGGTTGGCATCTGGTTAGATCGCTGATTATTGACTGCTGCACACGATGAATGATGGACACATATGTCTATTTCTCAATGTTCTCCCCATAAAACTCTCCAAGGAATCGATTCTCTTTTTTTCAACATGTCAAGGAATATTAAATTGCATTTAGTCAGTATAGCCTGCGTCGCGGATGTGATCTAACCCCAGTTAGTAACCAGACTTAACCAGAGTTAAGTTAGACTGTTCACAGTCCCCTATTTTCCCGTGAGATCGTAGAGATATAGCGCGTCTTACAATTAATGGCGGCCATCTTGATTTGCAAATGTACCGAGGGGGCGGGCGTCAGGGATTATAGCTCTTCCTCCCAAACCACCCCCGCCTGCTAAGTTGTTTTAACACTCATGCAAGATGGCAGCCCGTAACGCAAAGCGCTCGATCTCGACAATCTTACGGGAAAATAGTGGACTGTGAACAGTCTAGAGTTACGTTTCGTCTGTGGCGCAGGGTAAAGTTAGGAACGCGAAACCCAAAGCGTATTCAAGTTCGCTCATCCTGTTAGCCTGCATTTCTTTGCATACTTGACGAATATTTAATGAGTGAAATTAAAGTAAAGTTGAATAAATATTTGTTCTTTTGTAGGAGGCTGAGAAACACTTCCTAATAGCTTTGAAGCTAAAACCTAATTCTGCGGAAATTTATGGAAATCTTGGTAAGAATTCCTCGAACTTCCTAATAGCTTTGAAGCTAAAACCTAATTCTGCGGAAATTTATGGAAATCTTGGTAAGAATTCCTCGATTTGTTACTCTTTCTGGTTATTTTGCTGTAAAAATGGTTCTAACTGGGGATGAAATCCTACAATGTGACGTGACCATTCAGATAAAAGCTACTGAGCAGTTCTTTGCAGTCGGTGTCTTTATTATGATGTTCAAGATAATACTAACTTCTGAGTCTCAGAGTTAAATCCTAAAGTGTGACCATTCAAATGAAGTTTCTGAGCTTTGTTTTCCTGTTGTAGTGTTTATTATGCTTTATTATATAGACACGAGTGTTTTACTGGAAAATATACCACTCGTGAAATTCATAAAAACTACATTGGGACCCGAGTGGTTTATTTTCCATAATCTCACACGTGAGGTTATCGATGACCTAATTTTGATAATTTCCCTCTATTATTTTATCGATGTCATTTTGTCTATATTATAATAAAAAGAACATTACACGGCGGCTTGAAGGTATGAATTTTATTTTCTCGTGGCCAAAACAATATTTTACTCACTCGCTGCGCTCGTTCGTAAAATATCGTTTTGCCACTAAAATAAAAAAAAAAATTCATATCTTCGTGCCACCGTGTAATATCCTCCATGTATAGGTCGATTTAACCTGCGATAAGGCGGTCCTTCTTTTTTTTACTTTTACCTGTCCACCGAATTTCGTGCTTCCCCGAAAAAAAGGAGGCCTGATCGAAGCTTAAGGTCGATTATAAAGTGTAACCATTGAAGCAAACGCTTCTGAGCATGTTCTTTACTGGACAAAGTTTATTATGCTTTTCAAGTAGTTTAAAGTAATAACTAATAGTAATTAAAAAGCTAGTTGTACCGTTCGGATTATCTATTGTTGCTTTTAAGTAACTTGCATCTGTGCCTAAACGCAGTCTCAAATTAATTCTAAGATGTAACGCTATCGCTTTTGTTTACTTGACAGGAGTATTATATCACAGGTGGGGGAAACACGAGCAAGCCGGTATATACTACAGAAAGGCTCTGAAGCTGGATCCGCGAAGTGAAAATGTCCACGAGAACTTAAAAAAGCTAAAAAGAACTACACGGCAGGTCTCCAGTGACAGGCCAAAATAGAGAGTAAAAATGATGGAAATATTTTTACGACGATGTATATAGTTTTAATAATAATTAATAATAAGAAGAAAAGCCGGGAGGAACAAACAAGTTACATTGTACGAAAAAGAAACGTTGTAAAAAGAAACATTCGATACTTTTCGATTGAATAAGCACTTTTAATCCTGTTATTTTTTAAGGTTTACATTAGGGTGGATATTTAAATTTTTTCCTCAGCGCGTTTGCTCCATACCTAATATTTTTTGGCATAAAGTGCTATTTTATTTAAGTGCTTTTTCGAATAAATTGAAGTAAACAAGTTGCTAAGGCGCGAAGCGTTTTCAGCGATAAGAAGCTCGTTATTTTGAGAAAAAATATTAAAAGATAGTTACAATAACAAAGTATTCGATACATCCTTGCCCTTGTTTCCACTTATTCCAACTGATTAAAACAAGAAACGCTTTAAACGTTTCACCCCGGTGGAAGAGCGCACAAACGCGAAAGCACTACTCAAGCTACCTCGTACCTTGGTGGTTCTAGGGATTTTCGAGTCAAGTGGCAGCGCAAGGGGTTATGGGAAAGACGAAACATGGGAAGATCTCTTCGCTTTTCACCCTGAGCCTTCCCTTGTGCCTTTGTGTTTTTGAATCTTTCCCAAGATCCTTAACGCCGAGACTACCAACGTAGCGTCTGGGTACGAGGCAGTTAATCAGCTGATCACTTATATCATCACTATAGATACCTTTGCGCTAAAACTACGGTAAAATTAATCACAACTATAACAAAATTTTCTAACCTGAGTGGTTATCAGCTGCCCTGATTTCAGCGTTAATAGGACAGTGTAACTTCTATTATTATGGTTGCACTCTTTTTAACGAATTATCTTATTGATATTCCGTGTTTTACATCTTTTAATCTTTTAATTGAAAATAGTTTTCTATTTATATTATTACCTGTATTAGTGTAATGTTTATATGTTCAGTGTGGTTTTTGTGCGTTGTTGCTCAGGGCTCCCATTGATAACAGACAGCTTTTTGCGTCTGAAGGGGCTACCCTGAGCGGTATAAATTAATAAAGGTTCTTCTTCTTCTTCTTCTTCTGTAACTGAACAATACGCGTCATGACTAAGTAATTGGACAGTGCGCGCCATCGTGCGCACACTTGATTTTTTTTTCACTTCTGGCGAAAAAACTCTCGGAATATCTTGTGTTTTAATTTTAAAAATTAAAAGCTTTAAATATCACAAAAAATCTTCGCGTCGTCCAGTTCGGTCTGTGATCATACTCGTGAATAAACAAATCGAACTCGCCCTACGCGGTCGACCGATTTTATTGATCATTCGTGTGATTACAGATCAAATTGGATTCCACCAGAAACTCATAAGGGGTTGAAACGTGTAACTCTCATTTGTTTGCTTTGTCCGATGCTCGTGATTATTCGTTTTGGAAAGTACCATATTTGGAACGAGAAGAAGAGATAACTGACCAATCAAACTTCGCAAACAACGTGACGTAATTTTACTTCAGGTTCCCGCGCCCGCTTAAAAAAATGGCCGACAAACGGGGGAACAACTCCCAAAAGGCCAGAAAGCTTTCAAAGGTTGAAACCAGGAATCGTACCGAAACACTGAGCAGAAATATATTATTGCCTTACCACCAGAGCCAAACGTAACATTATGAAACCCATTGACGTCCTCGCAACTTCTTGAAGTTGTTACTTCAAAAAGCGATGCCTCATTGACCCTCTGCACAGCAAACTTGTACTGCAAATAGGTTTTTAAATTCTTATATCAAAAGTCCAGAATAAACAGTAAATGATATTTTCGAAAAAAATTCATTAGCTGCGTATCGAAAAGTGTCCAAAACCTGAACCTGACATCTTCGCAAAAAGAGATGCGTGTAATGAATGTGAGAAGCATTTAAGCTTAAATTCAGCTTGGATGTTGTAGTCACGATCGTGTTTTGAGCTAATTTTATAAATGAACAAACTCAAAACAATAGACAGAGAAGCCGTTTCTTGAAAACCCCTTATGAGTTTCTGATTCCACTCAGTTCTATAGATCGTTTTGACATGACGTCACGGTGGTTATATTGGTGTAGCATATGCTTCTCGCTAATGAGAACTTGACGTAAAAAAGAAAAAACAAATAAGACTATATCTGGAAATTCAGTATAAAACTTTTCCATTTTTTTGGTGAAGAAATATATCGGTCATATTATTCTGTTGTTCTTCTAGTCTATTATCGTAAAGTTTTGAGTTCTTCTCTGAACAAGCCTTAGCAAAGCTCGAATGCTTCTTGAAGAAAGGAATACTAATGTTTTTTACTAGGTTCATGGCATTTTCATTTGATCTTTCATGTGATCTTTTGTCTTTGGTCTTTCATTCTAAAACAACAGCTGAAAGAATAAAAATACGACGTCGACGAATCAGCGCTCGTTGTTCGAATCCGAACAAATCTGCGCCATGAGTATGGAATTTTTTAGGGCCGAATCGCAGACGTCTCTCAACTCCCCGCGAAACGTCCCTAGTGGCAAGGAGCAAGAGAGACGGCTGTACTCGCAGGCTATCTTTTGTTTATTGATATCTTACGTTTTATCTTGTATCAGTTAAGGCTGGTACAGACTAAAATGAGTTATAAAAAAGCCTTGAAATGCAGCTTTCCTTTGTTATTTTATTGGAGGTTTCTTATTTAGTGATCAATTACTACAGACCTAAGGTTGACATATCCATGTTACTCGTACAGTTTATTCTTTGCTGTATAAAATTAATGTTTTTAGGTAACATTTATTTAAACTTGAATACCGTGCTTATAGTTTTTGCAACAACGAGGTAGGTGTGACCACCGTGCACAAATGACGTCATACCATGAGCCCACTGAGTTGAAATTTCTTGAAACTTGAAGAACCTTGATCCAATGGCCCGATACACAAATGACTTTCCAGAAGCATCGACTACACCCAGGAAGGTTTCACCGTACATCACAAATGGATGGCAGGCAATGGCTTTAGTAGTAAAAAGTGACTGGTATGGGACAAACTCATTTCCATTCCACTTCAAAATGTTGGGTTTCTTTCCATCTTCATAGTTTGCAATTGCAATGAATATTTGACCATTCACTTTAAACGACTTCACATCTCGTGCTCCATACGTCAATTGTATAGGTCTGACAGGTGATAATAGGCTGAACGCTCCCATTATCCATTTGAGCACATACAAATAATTACCCGCGGCAATAACAAGAAAAGTTTCATTCTTAATTACAAATTCCGTGCAAGCTCCATAGAGCGCATATGCTCGCAATTTTCCTCCCCCGACCTCATACAGAACGAACGAGTTGTTTATCCACATATAGACTTCGAATCCTATCCAGTACTCACTATATCGATAGTACACATTTACAACCGATATCAACTGTTGAGTCCCTATTTTCATGAACTTCAAGTCTGTTTCTCCATTTCCATACAACGTTATGTTTTGAAATACAACAAAAAATTGTCCGTTCCACTGATAAATAACTAACTTCACTAGCCGTGTAGATCCAGATTCGAAATTGACAACGGCAAGGTAATGTGTATCAGCAATTGTAAAATATTCCATATCTGTTCCTCCCGTAGTATTGATAGTTTGGTAGAGAGAGAATTTTTCAGTTAAGTTGTCCATCTTGTAGATGAATGGTTCTGTGTTGAATTCATCGGTATCATTTTTAATGTTGGCGAAGGCAAGAAACTGGTTTCCATTAATAGTGAATTGCACAACATCAACAGCTCCACTGGTTCGTAGATCTTGGTATTTTTGAAAGGAATTACTGGAAAAATCTTGAAGGGAAACATAAAATAGCAATAAAGCGTTGACATTGTGCAACAGAATTAATACAGGAATGGCTGCTTCTCAATCTTGAATACGTTTAGGGGGTCAGGCTATAATATAAGGGACTTTAAGATGCCACGAAGGCGACGACAATGAGAACGTAAGAAAAGCAATAGTTTGAATTGGCAAAACAACAATTCTGCACGTACAGCACGTTCTTTTGTACATTTCTTTGCCGTCACTGCACGAGTACGACCCTCTTAGGGCCTGTTTACATGGAGGTGGGGGACCCCAGGAAGGTGAGGTAACCCGCTTAGGTGGGGTAACCCGCCTGTCCATACAATCTCTCATTTTAATGTGATCACGTTTACATGTTAGGTGGGGTAACCCACCACATGTTACCTCACCTACCTGGGGTCCCCCACCCTCATGTAAACAGGCCCTTAGAGCTAACTTCCCTGAGACTAAGATTACAAGATACAACTTAAGGAATAAATCTCCCAAAATGCCCGCCATTCACACGGACCGCTTTAAGAATACATTCTTTAACAGAATTGTCTTCAGGCATAATGTAGCTTTGTAAATAGTGTACTTTCTGTATTCGATTTTTGTAGTTCTTTCTATGTATATACCAGTCTTATTTATAAGACATACTTTAGTCCATTAACATTGTTATATTTAAATGTAACATAAGATATGTAATTTTATCTTTTGAACAATAAAGACACTTTATTTTATTTATTTATTTATTTACGACGAGAAAATGCCTAATTTCACGTTTTATGGAGGACGTAAACAAGCGACGACTAAATTTTCTTTCTCTTTCTGAACTTGAATATGGTTCTTAGGAATTCGGCTCAAAAAAAGTTTGCTTGTATTTGACAGAGTAAATGAGTTGAAGTAATCGCGATAGAGATTAAAAGAACGCAAATTCACTTTTTGAGTGACTTTTTCGTGGCCGTCGCCGTCGTGGTATCTTAAACTCCCTATAATCGAAATAAGCACCATCTTTTTCCCCGCGAAGCGAGTTTATAATCTCGTCACACTTACCGACTCGGTTCACCCCTCCTATCATGTAAACGTGATCAAATTAAAATGAGAGATTATATGGACAGGCGGGTTACCTCATCTAGCTGGGGTCCCCTACCTCCATGTAAACAGGCCCTTAAGTTAGATCGAGTAGAACGGTATTTCATTTTGTATGATATTTCTGAAATAGATTGCCAGCGGAGTCTAGGCTTACAGTGTGATCTAACTAGAACTACATAAGGGGATTTAACATTACTAGGTGAGAGAGCTCTTGTTCTTCGTTTTTTTTTTAGGAACTTTGCTTTTGGAGGGATTGTTTATCAATGTGATTGTTCCAAGATGGTCCAAGGTGTACAACTTTTCTTTCAATTCTGTTCAATATGGACACCGTCGAAACTAGCACTAAGTGTCCCAGTTTTAAAGGAATTGAGGAACGACAGAGAAAAAGAAACTGCAAAAGTGTCTGTTTGATGGTGATTTCTGTTACGAGAGAGTTGACCGTACCTTTATCCTTCAAATATGCTCCCACGTATCTCAAAAATTGACAGTAAACACACAAAGCCCTAATCCATAAACGATAAGAGAGTTGAACTCTTAGCAGTTCGCAGAAGCAGAAACTCGCCAAATTGAAATTAACAACAAAAAAATCATAACATACCTCTTGTCCCAAACACTTCTACCCTGAGACAGCTCCGGTTATGACGATTTGTAGGATGGAAACGGATAAATCTTGCATGAATTTGCACTGGCAAAATGTATTTGTCAACTTCATCGCTGCGACCTTTCCTTTGAAATTCCTTCAAAAACAATCACGATAATTATTTTATTTAATATGGGGGTTATTTACAAGTGCAATGATAATAATAGTCTAACACCTATTTGATGTAATTGTGATTACTGTCGATCCGACATGACCTAGCCTTGTCGAAAACACTAGAAATTCCGTCAACTCTCTCCGGACAGACACCTCCATGAGACGGTTACCTCCATTCAACGAAAAGTAAAAGTTTTGATCAAACCGTTTCGCGTTCCTTTCCTGATTAGATTTTCCATACACAGGAGCCCATAACCCCGGAGCGAGCAACTTCCATGAGCTCGTGTCACGGCGTTTTGACGGACCAGTTTATTTTTAGACAATTTTAGGACACTTTTTCCCGCGAAAATAGAATTTCCACTATGTCTATGAGCGCATTCGAAGTATAAGATATCTGAAAGGTCTGTAGGTTTGTGGAATTTAAAAGATATTCAAAATTCGCGCCAAAGCGTTCTAAAAATAATTTCAGTTTGGGAGGTTCTTTATTTTTAGAACGCTTTGGCGCGAATTTTGAATATCTTTCGAATTCCACAAACCTACAGACCTAAAAATGATATTTTTTGCCTTTTAATAGCGTTTAGTTTTCCTTTTTGATATCTTACACTTCGAATGCGCTCATAGAAATGGTGGAAATTTTATTTTCTCGGGAAAAAGTGTCCTAAAATGTGTCTAAAAATAAACTGGTCCTTAAAAACGCCGTGACATGGGCCTAGTATGGGAGTTGCTCGCTCCGGGTTATGGGCTCCGGCCATATGACGGCCACCTGCCTAGATATGCCTAAGATGCAAACTTAGTGCCGGTCCCTATAATAACCGTCGTGTAGAAAGAGTTGACTGTAATTCTTGAATGTCATGTCTTCGAGGAAAACGTCAATCAGGTGTAAGATTCTAAACCGTAAGCATTACAGGTAAAGTCTTCGTAGTTTTGTATTTGCTTGGCGTCTTGGAGTTTTTCTGCACTAGCATACAAATATTAGAGACTTTAAGCAAACCGCTACGGCAACCTCTACTACGGAGGACGTGGATGCGGAGTCCTGGGCAGAGTACATCACCGTCGACCGTCAAATTTCAACTTTAAACAATCGGCGTCCAGACTTAAAAAGAACGGACAAGATCAGGCTAGGACAAGATTTATGTCTGACAACTTTGTATCCGCACTGAGACAGCTAATATCCTATACACGCATGTAATTATCCTTCGTATCGTGATCGTCGCTTTGTTGTTGATCGCGACATTTCGACCGCTTCATCTGGTGATGATTTCGGGGTTACTGAAGCACGATGAATGTTGGTTAATTTATCATTAATGGTCTGTGGACTTTGATCCTCACTATTCATGTTTGAGTCTGTTCCCTCCGCAGTCCGCTGTGTACCGATGATGGATCGGCTGTTGTGTTGCATGCTCTTAGGCAGCCCAGTCCCTGTTGATGTTGCTGTGGTGATGGTTATGTGGTAGCCTCTTTGACCCTACGCGGAGGGTTGCCGGTACCAGTGCGAGTAACGGTTAGTCTCTATGTCGTGCCTAGTTCAACCGGTCTGACACGTTTTTAGTTATTTTTTAGGTCGAAGATGTAAGTTTTGATTGGCTGACTAAAATTTCAAACGTGTTCATTGGGTGACTTATTTTGTAGGAGTAATCAGCGTCAACTTGCACGCTACCTAAAATCACTGAACCGTAACGTATTATGAAAGATTTTTTTCTATATTAACTAAAAGTACGTATCTCGCATTCCCCTTGCTCGCTGGAGTTTCAGGGGCGAGGATTTTAAGCAGCTTATTGAATCCAGCGTTGTTATGTCTGTAGTTCGCTGTTATTTGCGAGAGAAAAAGGTTGCGGTTCGCCAACGGTAAACTTTATTTCACCGACGATGAATAAACCGATTCTAATCAGTGTAACTCATGTAGCCTGTTTACGCTTTGTTATACTAGGTAACTGCGACTACCAAGAAAATAAATACACTCATGCGTGCCACGCGTGACGTAAGGAGTGAGGGGCTTCGCGGGGAATGAGTGCGCAAGGGAAAACAATAACTTACCTTTTCAGAACAATCGCCGTACTTGTAAAATTTCCATTTCTTTCCATCAGACGAATAGGACAGCTTAAAGGCTGTAGTCAATGTTTTGCCATCTCTATTCCCCTGTGTGGCGACAGCACATACTACAAACGTGTCTCGAAGATCAATCTGTAGCGAGTCGTTACCCTCGGAAGTTGGACTAGGACACCAACCATCGCCTCTTTTGTCGTGGAGTCTACCGTAGTAGGGTTTGTAACGAAGTGAATCATGTTGGGATGAGGCGTTCATCTGAGCATCAGAAATTATTGATGGGTCGGAAATTCCGATGGGAGCGTTACTGTCACACGGCAAACCTGCAGAACGGACCTTTCTGTGTAAATTACAGTGTTTTAAATAACCGTAAGTAAAAACACATTTGCACATTGAGCATTTAGTCTGTCAAGTTTTAAACATCATAACAGGGCGATATTTTAACAAGGACGTAGACTAGATGAAAGAGGTCCATTGTCTTCAAACAGGTCATTAACATTACATAAATTATATTATAGTCAACAAACTAATGCTACGTTCAATTAGGCAGATATGATGCCTACACGGATCCGACCAGGTTGGCAGCCACAGCGCTCGTTCAGAGCCCTTTTATGTGACCAGCTTAGAAAAACTGTCTCCTTCTGGTAGACACTCACAACGAATCTCTAGACCTTGAGTAAGATGTTTCCCCAGTTCATAGGCTTTGTTGCAGCTATAAGGACCCTAAAACAAAATTGGTTTGCTACCCTAGCCGTAAAACAATGGCAAATAAACAATGGCGTGTTATTATTTTCTTCCACCAGAGAAGAGACTCATGAAAGCTATTGTATTGCACACCATGCGAGCAACGGCTACAGTACTGCTAGGAAATTCATGGAAAATGGTTCAGTCGTTTTGCTCGAAAAAGCTTCAACGGCTAATTCTAGATGACACATTATTCTGTCTTATTTTCGTTGCCCTTGCCACTTACAACAAAATCATGATCATTTGTTATATTCCTAGACTTTTACTCAACTAAACAGGGACTGCCATTGGTTGATTCTTGGTCACGTAAGAAAGAAAAGAAGGAGTCGAGTTAGGAATAAGAAGGAGAGGGGATTGGAGAGAGAAGGAAGGGAACGCTTGCTATAATAACCCCGTTTTGTTCACCTCTGAGGAGGCTGGCGTCAGCAAATTCTGATTGGTTATAATCAGACAATAGAACAAGCTTGTTCAGCAAACCAAAATGGCGATTTCAGTTAGCCTGCGTCGTATTGTCAAACATTTTCCGAACGATCACCTCTCCGTTAGAATTCAAAATCAATACCGGTGCCTTTAAGCCGAGTGCTTGGTTTTCCCGTAATATTTTCCATATTACAATAATTCAACAAAATATCGGCATCTTGTCCAGAGAGTGTAAGTGCTACCTGCTCAAGCGTCTGTGTATAAAATGTTTATTAACAGCAATTTTTTTTTCAATAACAGCAATTCCCGATTCTGCGTCCTACGAGTCACTCACTGTCGAGCTTTCTCTAAACAAGGTCTTTCTAGAATAAACCTTTCCAGGACTTTTTTCTTTCAGCCGTTCACCGTCAGATTCGAGACGTTTCTTCCTTATATCGCTTCTTTCTGGCGTTATGGTGAGGAGAAGCTGCCTTTTGCTTCGATCTTCCACAGCCTCTCAATGTAAATCTTCCTCGACATTAGTGTTGCTTACAGCCTTCTCGATGAAACTGTGCAGTTCAGCTGTGTTTCTAATTTTGCGACCACAAGGTCTGCAGACCCGTTCTGACAAGTTTTCGTTTCTGATTAATGGCAACCCAATAGAGCCGCAACAATGAGCGAAAATCAGCCCCGCACCTTCAACTCTTCCCGACGGCAAAAATAAATTTTCAAGTGAGGCTCTTCCTCCCACAGAAGTAAAGTTAACTCCACAAAATCTACAACTGCTGTTTGTTTTTTTGAACGTTTACTTTGGGTTTCCGTCCCCTCTTACAAATTTTTGTCGGAGTCGCGACGCCGACGTTCTGTTGTCATTTTCTCTACAGCTACGAAACCGCCTTTGGCGATACATTCCCGCGTGAAGTCAGTCAAGCAGAAAAGCTCGCGCCTAATTCTGATTGGTAGTTGAAATACGGGGCGAAATGCAAAAGACGCGGCTTTTGAAGCAGGCGTTTCCCTTCTTCTCTTTCTTACCCTTCCCCCCACATTAATGCCTACTACCCAGGCTATGTTACCACAACAGGAGGGCATTTTGTATGCGCATGCTTCAATATAGGCTGTTGAAGTGTCACAGAGGCATTTTCTGTGAATTGTTTACGTTTAGTACTAACATTTGCAGGCTGTTTTCTGGAGCTGAATGACGTGTATTAGGTGCTACGTTTCACAAACATGTTCTTTAAGGTATCGAGGTATTTCTACGATGAAAGCGGCTTTATTGTAGCCTCGCTGTCGCCATTGAGAGGACAGTCTTTCATTTCGTAAAACAGTACATCGAAGACAAGATGGCGGCTGAATGTTCTTACGACCTAACATTTCGCGCACATTTTTTGAGCGGGAGGAAAAGGTCAGTATGATAATTTTTCGTTGAACAATTATCCTATAGATACTTAATTCTTCTAAATAGTATAACTCTAAAATCGAACTTAATCGTTTCAGGAATACAGTGGTTAATTAAGTGCCCATTCTGCCGTGAAACTGTTTTTCACCTTTTCGCTGGCTTGTTTATCTCGAAATCTTGCCTTTCTCCCCAGATTAACTTAATGATTAACGAAACTAAGAATACTTCCGTGAATGAATGGCGTTTTGATGAAGGCTGTGAAAAGTCGCCTTCTGCAGTAATTTTAGCCCTCTTCTCCGGTACGTCTTCGTTGAGAAATAAAATACACGCACTTCAAGTATAAATTTAAATCAATATAATGATGCCAGTAAGATTGTGTTTTGAAAATAAGAATATTCTATCATTTAGTTATACATAGGAAAAAAATTACAGCAATCGGTTTGAATTCTGACTTTTTCCACCTTATTTTGATAGTACACTGTTTGTTTACATTTCATTATGCAAATCAATATAACATTTTGGCGTTTTAAAGAAAATCTAGCCTAACTCCTGTAACAATGATGCCCGGATGGCCGTGTAATAAACTAGATTTAACTATGAAAGAAACTACACTTTATTCGGCCGCCGTGGCACCCGGAAAGCATGGCCCACACAAATATCCATGATCCTTTGCACGTTTACAATATCCGAGAACTTCCGCTAACACCACAGGTAGCCCAAGCTCACTATGAGAGCCCTGAACAACATTATCCCACTTAGCTAATTAATTATTCATACAGCAAGAAAATTATCACAAGCGATACTTGATTTCCGCGACCCCGGAGTGCAACGTGAGAAGTGAAAAATCAGTTACTGTACCCAGTAGGCTAAATGCTCCAATTGTCCTTTGACGGTTGAACAATTTGACCCTGCCAGCCCCCGTCGGTTTGAAATTGTCGACTTGACGGTTGGAGTCCGTTGCGGGTCTGCTCTCGACTCGCCTAACCTCAGCCGTGTATTGCCCACTTCGTTAGCGATTTAGGACCTTCGAAATGGGAATTTTGGCGATGTGAATGATGGAAAATGTGCGTTATTTATCAGGACATCTGTTTCTGGCGGAATTGTCTCCATGTCGCAAATGTCACGGAATTTATCGCCGCCGAGAGCGGAGCCGGTCAAGAGAGGTTTGCCAACCTTCTCTTCTCTTCTATCTACTGTCATCTGGGTGAAAAACTATCGCTCCAGAAAAGGCCTTAAACAGTGCCTAGGAGGTCTGAAATGCAGTCAGAATACGAAGAAAAACAAGAAGACGCTAAAGGTAAGCTTCAAAGCGATATTCAATGTACATTTTGCTAATTTAGTGAGCAAAGAATATTTCTCCATACAACGTCTTATAATATTCTTGCTGTATGAATAATTAATTACCTAAGTAGGATAATGTTATTCAGGGCTCTCATAGTGAGCTTGGGCTACCTGTGCTAACACAACTTCCGGTAGACAATACTATCGATACATTATGTCCCTTCCTTTCTTTAGAAACAAACAGACTACGAGAAAAAGTCAATAAGGCACTTAACAGCGACAAAATAAATCTGTATGAAAACTGTTCTGCTCGCATTAAGTTATCTCAATAAGACTGTTCAATAAAAACTAATAACATGAAACCAAATCTAACAGACTTCAACATAAGTCCAACGTGTCAACAGAGTTCAGTTCATAAAGTACATAGTCCTTGTACTTCTCCGGCATTCTGATAGTCCGCCTTTGTCTTGATGTCGCTATACTCTCCTCCAGTGGAAGAGTATTGGGTGCTTCTTGAGAAGCGGCCTCTGTGGCTTCTCGGGATTCCCCTGGTGGGTTGTACCGCTTAACAAATGAACTGTTCCGCCTGTATTCCACACCCTCCTTTGACCTAACAGTCACCCTACTGCCTTCCTTCGTCTGCACTGTGTATGGCTCACTCTCGAAATTTGCTTCTAGCTTGCCAGACGTTTTCTTGTTCTTCAGTAAAACCAGATCTCCAGGCACTACAGGGCTTTCGGCTGCACCCCGCTTGTTGTCAGCATGTTCCTTGTAGGTGAACTTGTGATTCCAATCACGATCTCTGACCCCCTCGTCCAACAGGTTACCAGCGCGCCTCAACTCTGGAAGTTTGGTTTTCAACTCTCTGCCAAACATAAGGGACGCAGGAGTAACACCAGTGCTTGTTTGCATTGTGGTTCTATATGCTAGCAAAAACCTCTGCAGTTCTTCACGCCAGTTTTTTCCCTCAACGAGAGCAACTTTCAAAGTCTTAAGCAGAGTTCTTTTCTGTCTTTCAACATGTCCATTGGCCCGTGGCCAGAGCGGTGGCGAAATCAAGTGTTCGATTCCGTGATCAGAGAGAAACTTCTCAAACTCCGCACAGCAAAACTGAGGACCATTGTCAGACTTGAGTGTAAATGGAAATCCATATCTGGAGAATATCTGTGTCAGTACATCCACCACTCTCTTAGCTGCTGTTGAGCACATGATCGCTACCTTGTAGAATCTACTGTAACAGTCTACGACTACGAGCAAACTTTATCCAGTGGGAAGGGGGCCTATCAGGTCTATGGGTATGTCTTGCCAGGGTCCAGTAGGCGGCTTCACTCTCTTCATGGGCTCAGGAACCTGGAACTCACCTACGACTAGGCAGCCATGACAAGACTTACACACCTGCTCTGCGTCCGAGTCAAGCTTTGGCCACCAAACCTTTGTCCTTAAACGTGCCTTCATTTTTACGATGCCCTGATGTCCTCGTGGGCAAGACCCAAGACTTCTCCCCGTAAAGCCTTCGGAACAACAATTCTCGTACCGCGCAAAACAAACACAAGTTTGCCTAACACACACAATTCATCCTTGACACGCACATAAGCTGTCATCCTACATTGAGACCAGTCCCCACTTAAAATGTACTGTCTCAGGCTAGCAATTTCTGGGTCACTATCAGAAACCAATTCGACTTGTTTCGCTGTCAGGGCAACAGGTAAGCTTTCCTCAGCGACTGCCTTGACAAAGTCAAATTCCTCCCCACTTGTGTCTTTAGGGTTACATTGATTGAGTCTTGAGAGAGAGTCTGCGATATTTGCTTTGCCAGGCCGATAAACAACTCTGTAGTCATACCCCTGCAACCTCAGAACCCAACATTCGATACGTGCTGATGGTTTTGAAAGTCTGCCAAAAATACACTCGAGTGGCTTGTGATCAGTTTCAAGTTCAAATTTGCGCCCGTACACATAAATGTTAAACCTGTCACAAGCCCATACTAGGGCAAGGGCCTCTTTCTCGGTCTGGCTGTATCTCCGCTCCACCTCAGTGAGGTTTCTGGACGCGTACGAGATTGCTGGCCACTCGCCGTCTTGAAGTTGAGTCAGCACTGCACCTGAACCCTGTGGACCTGCATCGGCAATAATACGCGTTTTACAGTCTCCTCTGAAATATGGAAGCGTAGTGGCCTGTGCAACTAGCTGTTTCAGCTTCTGGAATGACCTTTCCTGTGCTTCACCCCAGATGAAAGGCTCATTCTTCCTCAGGAGGCTCCTGAGTGGTTCTGCTTCTTGCGCGAAGTTTGGAAGAAACTTTGCAGAATACTGTACAAGCTGAACAAATGATCTGACCTGAAAATGATCTTGCATTCAAGATGGCAGCTACTTTCTCTTCACTGGGCGCAACACCTTGCCTGCTCAGATTATGACCGAAGAATGTAAGCTTGGGAAGACGAAACTGGCATTTGTCCCTATTCAAGGTTAGTCCTTTCTCTTTTAATCGGGTCAGTACAGTATGCAAATTCCTGCCTTGTTCCTTTATGCCACAACCATGCACAATCAAATCATCTGCCAAATTAGCCACTCCCTCGCAACCATGCAAAACATCCGCCACAATTTTCTGGTACTTTTCATGCGCCGATGTTACCCCGAACATAAAACACTTGTACCTGTACAAACAACAGTTTGTAACAAATGTTGTGATCTCGCGAGATCTTTTATCCAATTCCACCTGGTGGAAGCCTCACTTGAGATCGAGCTTTGAGAAGACAGTCGAGCCATTAAGGTCATACAAGACTTTCTCAATTGTAGGGATGGGTTGTCTTTCCCACTCTATTGCTGAATTCGCCCTGCGCATGTCTAGGCAAATCCGAACGTCACCGTCTGTCTTCGGGACAACAACCAACGGCGACACCCACTCAATTGGGTTGTATGACACCTCCTCGATGATGTCTTTGGCTAACAGCTCATCCAACTTCTCGTCAACCTTGGCTCTTAACCCAAATGGCAGTCTCCGTACGGGTTGTGCAACCGGCGTGACATCGTCTTTTATATGTAATTTCAGCTGAAAATCCTTCAGCTTCCCAACCCCTGTAAAAACCTCTCTATACTTCTCACGGATGTCGGCATCACTTCCTTCAACAGTTAATGAACACACATCTGGACGGACCCATAACACGCCCAACTTCTCTACAGTGTTCTTTCCGTGTAGAGATCTTCCTGGACCTTTAACCACTGTGAATTCGTCCACACAACTGTTGCCACTGATCTCGCACACAATCACAGACACAAATGTCCCAATCACCTCAATAGGATCTTTCTGTCCATAAGCAAACAGCTTTTTGCTTGATTTCTTGGACTCACACTGGACACTATTCTTCTTCAAAACTTCCCAGGTTGTTTGGTCAATCACATTGCACGACGCTCCAGAATCAATAAGTACCGCTGGTAACGTCACTCCTCCAACCTTCAAATCAACTTCACTACCACTTGTAGGCTGACTGACTCCAACTGTAAAGGCATAATAATCTTGTTGGCCAGTGGCTGAATCCTCTGATAGTTGATAGGCTCTACCCGGTGTATTATTCCTTCCCTCATCATCTCTTGTAAGAGGTTTGCGTTCCTTTGTTTTGCAACAGACTGCAAAATGTCCAATCTCGCCGCATGCATCACATTTCTTGCTACGGGCAGGTCAATTCGGGTCACGTGCCATATGGTCAGTGTAATTACAGCGAAAACAGCCTCTCACTTTTGTCTCCTGAGAACCACCAGACGGTTTACCAGGCTTATTTCCTCTGTTTCTACCCCGCGCTGTCCCTTTTCCTTTTCCTTTGCTGTGAGGTTTGCCGGAAACAGCATTCACCTGACCGGATGACTGTTCCATAGCCTTGACCTGCATGTTCACTTCTTCCTGCAAACGAGCCAAATCTTGTAAATCCTTAAGAGTAGCATTTGTTTTCTCAAGGAACTTACAGCGAAGTCTGGGGTCCCTGCATCTCTCAATAAGCTGATCCCTTATTGCCTCATCAACATTTCCAAACTCGCAGAAGATCGCTTTCTGCCTCAACCGACAAACAAACTGATCCACCGACTCTCCTGACGCTTGCGCCATTTGCCTAAACTGATGCCTTTCGAATGGAACGTTCAACTGCGGTGCAAAATAGTTATCCAACAACTCCATACTCTCAGCGAACGGCTTGATATCCGTACCGGTCAATAACGTGTAAGAAAGCTCCTGAAAATTCAACCCTCCAGTATGCAACAGCAATGCGGTTTTCTGTTCATCTTTCGTAATCCCTTTTGCCGCCAAATACAGATTGAGCGAGCGTTTCCACAACTTCCAGCGAACTGCAAGGGTGTTCGGATCTTCCTTAAGATTGAAGGGAAGAAGGCTGGCCACATCAAGAAGAGGAACAAACGTCGCGGATGGCGAAGCTTGTGATCTTGAAGTTGTACTCGAAGTGGTTCCACTGTCCGTCATCTTCCTGACAAAATACTAGTACTTTCCGCACAAATGACTTCCAAAACATCCACTACCTCACAAAACGAATTGAATCCTCGTCGCCAATGTAATCAACGATGCCCGGATGGCCGTGTAATAAACCAGATTTAACTAAGAAAGAAACTACACTTTATTCGGCCGCCATGGCACCCCGAACGCATGGCCCACACAAATATCCATGATCCTTTGCACGTTTACAGTATCCGAGAACTTCCGCTAACACAACTTCCGGTAGACAATACTATCGATACATTACAACTCCCCAACCCCAAAATAGCACGAAATGAAACGTTATCATACACCTTTTAAATAAATCTTCGTTTCTGTTGCAAAAAATTGCATTTATTCCGGAATGATACCATTTTGTGGATACTACATTTGTTGATATGCTAATTTGTGAGACATTTCATTCACGAAGGATGTTGACTGAGACCAGCTTCTCCTCTGTATTGAACCACATTCTTGTTTAATGCATCAGTCTCTGCTTGATAATTCTTCCATGATGTACAACTTACATAAGAGGTTCACCCGGATACAGTAAAAAGCTCTCAACAGAAACATTAATAATAGACAAATTCATCCATTCATTTGTGTCATGTTTGTTGTCGAATCCCAGCTCATTTGGGTCCTTTAGCGGCAGTATTTATTTTTTGAGGAAACAGCATTATATATGCACCCCTTTAACAAACTTCCTGTCTTATGTTTAAACAGGCTTTGAAGGTGAACAACATCGTCAGTTAGATTTATGGAGTGAAGGGCATTCTCTGTTTTGAATGGATCACTACTGTCATCAAATATTTTTAATAACAAGAAATCGATTGTGGAACACAGGACCTGTTACTCAAGAGTCGCTTCAAAATAGTAGCTTGGGAAAAGTCTCTGTATCTTTTTGAGTTGAAGAAAAATAAAAGTATTGTTCGTTTTTTCGGAGCATGTGCATTCGTTTTGTCTGCAACTGAGCTTATGAAATGCTCAAGTGATTATGTACTACATAATCACTTGTAGTTGTTGCTGTCTTAAACTCAATCCCGTCTTCATTTCCTATAGAATATTTTTTTATAAATTTTTTCGCGAAAACTTTCGAAAAACTGTAAAAATCCCATAGATTTCACGTTTTTGTGGCATATATAAAAGCGTGCCTCCGCGATCAGTTTAACATGAGACATCGCGCTAATAAATAAACCTCGCGTGGTAATTTTTTTTTTCGCTTTTTGTCTTAAAGCGGCTGAACATTGCTACGATGCATTTCCTCCTTGATAAGTAAAACCACGAGTTTGGTAATCAAACCATAGAAATGCATTGCTTTGCCAGTGAAAATCAGACTTATACAGGAACATGACTTTTTGGCGTTGAGTCTTGAAAGTCTTTAAAAGGCCACGAAAACCTACTGCTGAAAATTCTACAAGTGAAAACCCGAATAGAAAACGTCCGATTTTTGTCATGGAGAAAATTTTTTGTAGGAAAGTACGGTATTCAAAGCACCAACGAAATGGCTTTTAAAAGGACTGTAACTTTACACGAGAGTTTTCGATTTCCCGCCATCAGATTTGATGCGCCCACGTTATTGTCGTTCAGCGGATGCACCCATGGGCATGCAAAATGCCCTCCTGTTTGTTACCACTACAGAGTCTACACAGGAAAACAAGGCGGCTCTATCACTGTTTTGTGAACTCGGGATTTAATCCATGGAGAAAAAATGAAGGCAAATATTTTCGAAAATTGTACGTGCCAACAAGTTAACAAAGCAAAGAAAACTGCAGATAAACAACGCTCACCTCGATTGTAGCCGCTCTTAACAGCATTTGCAAGAAGCGACAAAAAACTTTCTCATTCATGGTGAGTTGACAGAAACTTATTAAGCTATACGTTTCCTCTCAGCAGGGGTTACCGTGGTAATTTAAACTTTCGACGTTTTCTTTAAAACCATTGATGCTAAAGCTTACAAAAGACTAAAACTATGATTTGCCATGTTTGAAGATTCTGTAAAGATCTAACTTTTGCGCATCTACTGTTTACGGCTACATGTTCACGCATGAATTCACCTGTCAATCAAACTAATTGTTTTTTTAAATGTTTCCTTTCTGACTCTGTTGAGATCACTTCGTGTGAATGTACTATTTAAATACAGTTATATGCTCCTTATGACTTCATCTGCGCTTGACGAGTGTCTTTTATGGTGCATAACTTTCAAAACAGCTGCTCCACAGAATGTCTCTGAACACACGTAACGCAAAAGAGTATCAACGTATACGCAAATTATAAGTGTCACGAAATCAACCTAAGTGGCGCCCTCGGGGTTTTTCTGTCTTACGTCATCCTAAGTAACCATCTCTTACTTGCAGGAGTGCAAAATCGAAACGACATCATTGATCATTACCCAACGATTCCATGCAGCCCCCGATCAAGCAAATCGAGATTTTTTCTGACTGCGTATTATAACTGTAAGTATTTTTCCCTATATACGCGCGAGGTACTGGGGTGCCTGCTCGGAATTTCGCCTTCTAGGCGAAATTCCTGCGGGGGAAATTATATAACTAAGATGGAATGCGTGCTCTGATTGGCCGAGAAACATGCTGTAAACACAGGTGTGACGTCAAGATGTTTTGCTGTGCGTGTGCTAATATCGCAAGCACAAATTTGAAAAATGTTTTGAGGTGAAAACTCCACAAATTTGACAAATTTACGTTATTTACCCATTTCGTCTCGGGTTTTCATAACTGTCTCGAATTATCCCAGCCCCTCTCATGTTTATATCAAGCTATGCAAACACGGAAAACGTGCGTTTTCTATTGCTTAGCTACAACCCTGTTATATTGATACACCTCGTATTGCTACCATCTGACGTCCAGAGTTGAACTTCTGTGATCTCTCTGGTGTTTTCTAGCTTGAGAAGCCTGTCACTAAGATTCACTGAAATTGTAAACAATTATCCGAACATGACAAAGTGAGACATACACATATACGATCGCGTCCATCCCGACTGGGATACGCCATTTCAGACTCCCTTTCCCGATCATTCACATAGCACTTGATTCATTTGATGGAAGGCTTTTTCTAAGTGAAGTTTGATTTTGAAGATCGTGTTAAAAACAAATAAATTAATTGATGGTATTACATCGAGGAAGTAAGATATCGCAATAGTTTCAGTGCAGTTATCAAGGACTCCTCACTACAAGAAACTAAACTGAAACATTTAAAAAATGTTTTCACCTTTGGAAATGCTATGTTAGTCTTTCAACAAAGCCTCTTTTTATCAATTTACTTACTTAAAGGACAAGACCCAGCTGTAAAGGAGAAGTCGTCAATTGCTATGCCACCCGACTGGCCTTTTCCAGGGAAGGCTTCAAATGTTACCTGTCAAAGAAATAAGATGTAATCATGCCAAAGAGTCTATGCTGTATAATTTTGAGAGCAACTGGTGTTATAAAGTACGGAAAAATCAAGTGAAATCAACTAAAACTTATCAACTGAAAAGAGAGACATCGATATTTTTGACAAAAAGTTTACCCTATGCGTTCCCATCAACGATCCCGTAATAGATGATGTATTTATACCGGCCTCAAGCCAAATGTTTTCCACGTACAGGTCACTTGCAGAAAACAGTAATTTTCCATCTATGGTAACGTTTAAACTTCCAGCATCTGCACCATCCATGCGGTAATAGAATTTCAGACACATGTTCCTGAGGAATTTCAGTGGGGAACTAGACAATTTTACACTTTCGACGCACTGCCGTAGACCAGACGTGTCTATGTACATGTAATAACCTGTAGAGAGATAAAGAATGAAAGCACGGAGAAAACTGAAACAATATTTGAGGTGGGCTAATTTTAGACATTTTACGGCTGTCACTTTTCCACAGGTCAGAGTACAGGTCGCCATGATACAGATAAATGGATAGCATTAAAAGTGTCTCCTAGCCCTAATCTCTTAGTGACAAAATGCTCTATTAGATCGAGGGGAATGTGTGTGGTTTGGTAATTTATCAATGGAGCAGTAAGCTGTACTCCTTGACCTGTAAAATAGGACCTGTACTTTAGATCCGCGATGATGTTAAATAAAACCAATAAGTACAAACTATAAAAAATTGAGAAAAAGCTTTTCTTAAAAACATTTAGAAATATTTAAAACAGTTAAAAAAATATACAACGTTTGAACGTTCTCGGACATCATTATCGACAGTATGATATGCATAGAGGATATTACACGGTGGTGCGAAGATATGAATTTTATTTTCGAGTGGCAAAACAATATTTTACGAACCGAGCTCAGCGAGCGAGTAAAATATTGTTTTTGCCACGAGAAAATGAAATTCATATCTTCAAGCCGCCTTGTAATGTTCTTTTTATTATATAGACAAAAAGACATCGATAAAATAATAGAGAGGAAATGACCGAAATTACGTCATCGATAAACTCACGTGTGAGATTATGGAAAATAAAATCACGAGCCGAAGGCTGCGAGTTTACTAGACGACTTCAAAGGCATTTCTGGAAAAGCGTGTCTCAATGGAGTTGATAACAATGAACGTTGGAAATTAGCATAGGAAAAAAATATATTACGTATGAAATTATTATGCAAGAAAATTAAATCTCACACGTGTTTAGAAATTTTCCACTCTACTAGCCTGTTCCAAGCGTTCAGATAGTGGAGAGCGGTGCGAATTAAAGAAAGCGATGAAAAGTAGAGGGGGACTGGGGAGAGAGGTGCGGGAACGCTTGTATTAAGAATTTTTAACAAAAGTGCGTTCCGGTATACCAGATCCTGGTATACCCTCTGATTGGTTGATTTTGACAGTTTTTGTCAACAGTGAAGCTTCTTGGCTCACAGCGAGAAATGCGATATGGCGGTGATGACAGACTCTACGTCCCGTCACGCAGAATTCGAACTCGCAACAAACACAGCGCTGAGAGTTTTTCCAAACGTGGAGGCTAAACGCGAAGAGCAAAGGAACTGTTTAAAACACGTAGTCAGCAGGATAGATGTCTTCGCAATTTCACCGACTGGCTTTGGAAAAAGACTTATTTTCCAGCTTTTTCCTCGAATAAAGTGTGCGTTGGAATGAAGGCAGGATAGAATGCCATTTAGGCTTATAGTACTTTGCGAAACGAAACGAAACGAAACGAAATGGTACTTTGCGAAACGGTACTTTGCGAAATGGTACTTTGCGAAACGGTACTTTGCGAAATGGTACTTTGCGAAACGGTACTTTGCGAAACGGTTACAACACAATGCTTCATCACACCTTATCTAGAGTACCTAGAATTCCACTGAAAGCTGAAGATTTGTAAAGATAAACCTGGAGCAAATTTCCTCGTTAAGTCTGTTTCCTAAGAGCAGCATCTATTACCAGACGCCATCTTGGATTTAGGTGACTTGAATGTTGTGTATAAACCATTTTAGTGTCCTCTGTGTAACACGTGTAAATTTTGCGGGCGCATCTTTCACACGCAAACATGTAAAAAGAGCGTTTCAGAGCGTTTTTCTTGTAAATTTGTTTCTTAGTTACTATGAGTACCATATATGAATTACAATTAAAGCAAATCAAACAAAAAAATTGATTTTGGTAATTTGCGAAATGATACTTTGCGAAATGTTTGTCTTTCTTTCGTCACGCGAGGCATTGCGTGAGAAATTTTCCCGCGCTCTGGGGTCATGCATGTGAGACCGACGTCTGCCCATGTGCTAGCAAACATTATTTACAACAGTGTTCCTCAGCGCTTCTTATTTTGAAGCCCAGCATGGCTTTCAACATACCTCTTCGCGACATGTCTGCGTGTGAAAGATGCGCCCGCAAAATTAACACGTGTTACAAAGATGACACTAAAATAGTTCATACACAACGTTCCAAGTCACCTAAATCCAAGATGGCGTCTGGTAATACATTGCTCTTTGGAAACAAATCTTAAGCTTTCAGTAGCATTCTAGGTACTAGAGATAAGGTGTGATGAAGCATTCTAGGCTGCTAATTTTCAGGATTTGGTCGCCAACGCGAAAAATTTGGGCGCATTGGCGCTTGTGTAACCGTTTCGCAAAGTACCGTTTCGCAAAGTACCATTTCGCAAAGTACCATTTCGCAAAGTACCATTTCGCAAAGTACCGTTTCGCAAAGTACCATTTCGCAAAGTACCGTTTCGTTTCGTTTCGTTTCGTTTCGCAAAGTACTATAAGCCTGCCATTTACGATTGTTTTGGTAACTCCGTTGATTGCCATCATGAAAAACCAAGTGGAACATTTGAACAAAATCAGAGTAGCGGCGGCAATGATGGGATAAGATGTGGATGAAGCCGTTAAAAGTAGAAGCTGTGAAATTGTATGATCCTTAAAAATTCACTCAAAGGCGTACTGCAGTCACAAATCGTGGTTGTCTAAGGAATGGACAAAAGGACTTCAAAAGGAAAGCTTGGAAAGCAAGTTGTAGCTATCGCTATTGACGAGGTCCACTCAATCACCGAATAATAAATTTTCCCTTCGTTTGTTGGGCATTTTCATTGCTCGAGTTAACGATCTGTATTGAAACGGCTTTCTATTGAAATGAGCGATGTCACTGAATGAATGATGTCACTTGATTCATAATTTTTTTGTCACGTACACGCTGAAATCATGTTTTAAAGCCGTAAATAAATTACTTCTCCCGCTCTCTATTGTCTGAAAGTCTTACATTAGGTTTTTAGTAAGATTATGTACACATAATATTAATTTTGATGTGAGAAATTTTGATTTATTCCTAAGAAAAATAATAAATG